GCCGCCATATCCAAAGGACCCCCCGGACCCAAAGGAACCCCCCATCCCTGACATACCTCCATACCCAAAGGAGCCCCCCGATCCAAAGGAACCCCCCATTCCTGACATGCCCCCAGAACCAAAGGAGCCCCCCATCCCATAGGAGGTCCCAGAGCTGTATGGGGTCAAAGCACCATACATCCTGGGAAGTGATGTTCCCACAATGCTTTCCTGTGGGCAGCTGCTGAGAATTGGGCCTGGGAAGGTGAGGACGACCGGCGGGGCAAACACCACAGCTCTGGAGTCCCCACACGATGCAACACAGGGCTCAAGGCTGCAGCTGTAGGCACATGGCTCTGGGCATGTCACCTCACAGGCAGGTAAGCACCGGGAGCTGATGTTGCGGTACATCTTGTTGTTGGAGTCTGAGGTGAAGCTGGGAAAGACAACAGGTAGTCAGGAAACTATCACAGTCAGGTGACGATGGGTGCCCATCACACATGTGACAGGAATGGGGAGGGAGGGAGGGAGGGAGATCGGACCCTTGTTCTTGCTTCCTATTCCTCCCTTAATTCCTCCTGTCCTGTGATCCCCTTTCTTTCTCCCTTCTTGCCCCTGTGGAGGATGCCTACGACTTTGTTTATTCAGTAGGGTTCAGCTTTATATTTGCACCTCAAGTTTTGAAAGATGTAAGAAAAAATAAAGTAACTCCAAATTCTACCTTTGTCAAATTCATTCTAAACACTGTCTACAAGTTACTGCAGTGAGTCTCGTATGAAAAGCAAAATTTCACTGCAACATCTTATTTAATTGCTAAAATCACAAAATACAGTCACAGGAAAGATTCCTCATTTAGAACTATCCCTACAGAGACAAGAAAGATATAAAATTATTATCTTAAATCAAACTCACCTAGAGCACCAAGACAGGTAAGTCAGGAGAGGCTTTTAGTAGACTCTTGATATGCTCTTGCTTTTATACCTTTTTGCAGGCAAATCTAGGGACGTGAAGCATCTCATAAAATCTCTAGCACTTACCAAACTATGGGTTTTCTTTTCTGGGTGACTCCTTAATACCTGTAATTATTTTCATAATTTCTAATTGGTAAATTATCCACAGACCTACACAATAGGACTCTCATATAATAAATTTGGGCTACCTAATATGTTGAAATTGTACATCCAAATTCCTATGCAATATCATTCTGCTGACTATGCTGGATTTACATTCGAAACTGACTGACACCTCCTTACTATTTTTTGATAATGATTTACCAAGAAGGAGTCCCCAGGAAGATCAGCCCTGCAAGTCTGCTTTCGAGAATGGCCTGATCCTGAAGGTGAGCAACACAATTTTGAAGTTCAACCTTGGCACAAAAAGACCTGGTGATCTTTGGGTATGCCTTTGTAGTGGTCCCACTGTCGACGTCATCACGAGGCACTAATCATAACATCACAAAGTTAATTTTGATACATTATGGATAAAATTACTCAGAGAGCTCAGAGCTTAAAGGAGACGTGTCACTTCAACTCTATTCATCTATGCTTTGAAAGACTTTTTGCAGGGCCTTGTCCTGGCCAATGCTCAAGAATAGTTTGTGAGGCCTGATTCTGTCATGGTGCTGTATCATCCATTTGGTAGATACAGGCGGGGTTACAAAGAATGCTGACTGCCCATCCAAGGTAGGGTTGGACAATTCTGTTTGGGAGGTATTATACCTAAATGTAAGGCTTACAAATAAATTGTGTGACTGACACATCAGTAAACCATCTTCCTTATAACCATTAAAGACAAGTAAACAGAGAGAACAACTCCTGTTTCAGTTGGAACCGGAATGATGCTAAAAGGCTTTTTTTCCTTTAAGTTTGCGATGAAAGGAAACTGTTGGGTGTTGGATGCATGTCACTCAAAGTAGGGCTGTAAATGGATCACTAATTATGAATTGAAATGAAAACAATAACAAGGCTTAGAAGAGTATCTTCTTTGTAAGTGACAAGAATTTAGTGAATAATGGATGACCTCATATTCTTCCTATTGTCTAAGAAAGTGTATAAAAGGGTAGAGAACTGAGAAATCTTCTATTCTTCCAGCTCCACTGACTTATTCCTCCAAGACAACAGGGTAAGTCTAACTTCATTGTATCTATAGAATACTTAAACCTTACTTCTTTTTCATCTTGTAAAATGCTAGCAATTTTAGAAAAGCTGTGGTAAAGAGAAGAGTAGGTTTAGCAAGAATTTTTAGATAAGGTGGGGGAAAGGGAAGAACAGAGCAAGGAAGATTCTGTGACTTTCCCCTGAGACTTTCTGAAGTTACAGGCAAGTCTTCCTGTAGGTCTGCTTTGAAAAGAGAATGAATGAGACTTTTCTGAATAAGTAATTGTATAAAGATCAGGTAGTTTTCTCCCAGAGAAAAGAGCAGTATTTTTTGAAGAGATTCAGAAGAGTAAGAGAGGTGGATGGTACACAAAGGAAGAACTGAGAAGCTTTAGAAGGGGTTGATCAGGAAGGAAACAGCGGGGAACATGGAGACTGTGAGGGCTGTTGAGCTGGGAGTTGATGAACAGCTGGAATAGAAGGACAAGGTGCACCTGTTTCATACTGGGAACCTGTTGGCACCTGACTGTGTTGGTTTCCTGACTACCTGTTGTCTTTCTCAGCTTCACCTCCACTCCCCAAGAACGATGTCGAACAACATCAGCACTGAGTGCTTACCTGCCTGTGAGGTGACGTGCCCAGAGCCATGTGCCTACAGCAGAAGCCTTGAGCCCTGTGTTGCATCATGTGGGGACTCCAGAGCCGTGGTGTACCCCCCGCCGGTCGTCCTCACCTTCCCAGGCCCAACTCTGAGCAGTTGCTCTCAGGAGAGCATTGTGGGAACATCATTTCCCCAGCCATATGGTGTTTTGACCCCATACAGCCCTGATGACTCCTACGGGATGGGGGGCTCCTTTGGCTCTGGATATGGAGCCTCCTTTGGGTATGGAGCCTCCTCAGGGGTTGTGGGTTCCTTTGGATCTGGGGGCATGTCAGGAATGGGGCGTTCCTTTGGATCTGGGAGCTCCTTTGGGTATGGAGGTATGTCAGGGATGAGGAGTTCCTTTGGGTCTGGGGGAACCCTTGGGTATGGAGGTTCCTCAGGGTTAGGGGGCTGTTACAGCAGGAGGTTCTACAGCAGCAGCCGTGGCTCCCGCCTTGGAAACTGTGGAAACTAAGGCAGCACAAATACCCACACATCAACTTAGAAGGTGAGAACGCAAGTTCCAGATTCACAGCTGAGTTGGCTTTCAGAGATGGTGAAAGCCCATTGCATCAACGGGAGCCACCCTTGCTCAGTACCTCGGAAAAATGTGCTTACACCTCTTTCTTCCATGTTATGTCTCATCTTCTATGAATGCCAGTTTCATATGATGGCTTCTCTCCTTAAATTCTTATTAGTCTTGTACTATGTCTTTTCTGGTAGACTGGAAATGCTTCAGAAATTGCAAGTGGGACTTTGCTGCCAAGATTTTGGCTTTACCTTGTAATTTTATTTACCTTTTGTCATTGACATCGATGCCTTTGGGCTACAGAATAGACCATTCTGCACCATTCTATTCTGTAACACTTACTTTATGTCATATTAAAAGCTTTGTTGAATCATACTACTGGCTTTCTCTTTCATTGTGTTGGGGTTTGTTTGTTTGTTTGTTTTTCTTCCATTCAGCTTTACAAGTTGCTTTTGGTGAAATTGAACTCAGTGAGAATAAAAATAGGAGGTGGAGCTTCATGTATGTAAAGGGAAGTAGAATTCAACATCCTGATGAGTGGCTGCATAAAAGCACCAATGTCACTGTTCTTTCTGTGTAAAGAAGGATTCCTACACATTTTAGTGACTCATTTCAATTTGAGAACATTTTGGATAACATGATTTGCAGAGGATGAGTGGTAGTTGTACCCACATTCAGCTTCGTGCAGTTGCACTTGCACAGCACTACGAGGATCTGAGTCAGTGATTTTGAGGTTGAGCCAGGAATGTCTATATAAACTGCCTTCTGTGAAGGTGATGCCTCATAATTTATACAGGAGAGTTACACCCCCCCCACAGACCTTGCTCAATAGACTGAGGAATGAAACATTGAGTAATAAGAGTGAAAATTGCTGGACATTGCTGCCACAATCTTATCTGTGGTGCACTGAGCAAAGCCAGACGTACCTGAGCTGAGACTAAAACTGGAGTCACAACAGCTCACTCACTTCTTTGGTGCCTTGGAACACCAAAGGACATCTCTGTACATGTCTTCAAGCAGATGAAAATACCAATTCTGTACTAAGAGAAAGGATTTATTCCCAAATAAAAGTAATCCTGCTTTGTTAGCTATCAAAATATGTATTATTACTTAACTCTGTGGATTATGACCTGACTAGCAGAACACCACTACTTTGCTTGATAGACTTCCTGTAAAGTAATGCTATTACAGGAAGTAAACTAATATAATATAAATTATATTACCACTGGAGGATATAATTCAAACAACATTCTGTTAATGTTATGGCGCAGCACTTTACATGCATAATCCCACAATGTAAGTAGAGCTATTTGAATAGTTCTCCTAAAATATTCTCATCAAAATTCTTATTTCATCAAAAGGCTTGCAGACATATTATCCTAGAGATCTGTGTAAAAGGTATCAATGAAAAAAAAATTAAATCAAAATCAAAACTGTGGTGGAAAAAAATCTGTTTCTCAGGCAGTTCTGGCAATGATGGTGTGTGAGGCACTTTGTGTTCCTTGATTCTGAGAGGGCACAAGGGCATCCATGTAGCTGTTGCCTGAGGGATCCCATGGTGATGCTTAACAAGCTCAGATCATTTACTGCACAAATGCTTCAATTAAGTTAACAAGCCACAAGGATTAAGACAATCAAAGGAAGGAAATGAATGTTATGCTTGGCACAGCAGTGCTTGCTCAGCCTACGCAGGAGCCCTCTCTTTTCACGAACAGCAGCACAATGGAAACAGCTCCTATAGAAAAATATTGATACAGCTGCTGGGGTGAATTTCTCAGTTTACTGCAAGAGTGCAAGACTTACAGTCTGATTCCCAATTGTGTACAAATAATTTCTTCTCCTTCCTTTTAGCCCTGTCTCCCCACAGTTCTCAGGTGTGGGCTAACCCATTTCCCTTTGCAGTCTGTAACCAGATAAACTATTTTACCATCAAGACTAGATAAATCAGAGCACAACTTTGCCTTCTGATGGAGTCAGGACCCATGCAGTCATTTAAACTGCTGCTGAGGATTAAAACAATTTCCTCAGAGATATTCAAGGAGTGATTGATAATAACCCTCAGTAACTGACTCGGCTTCAGTTACCTTTGTTTTGAGGGAGCTATGGCAGACCAGCTCCAGAGGTTGTTACATCCCAAATTATTCTATTATTCGGTTCTATTTCATAGAATCATAGAACCATAGAATCATGGAATGATTTGGGTTGGAAGGGACCTTAAAGATCATCTAGTTCCAACCCCCCTGCCACGGGCAGGGACACCTTCCACTAGACCAGGTTGCTCCAAGCCTCATCCAGCCTGGCCTTGAAGACAGCCCGGGATGGGGCATCCACAGCTTCTTTGGGCAACCTGTGCCAGTGCCTCTTCAACCTCTCCAGGAAGAACTTCTTCCTGATACCCAACGTTCCCACTATCAATTCAAACCCATTACCCCTTGTCCTGTCACTACAGGCCCTTGTAAAAAGTCCCCCCCAGCTTCCTTGTAGCCCCTTCAGGTACTGGAAGGTCCTATAAGGTCTCCCCAGAGCCTTCTCTTCTCCAGGCTGAACACCCCAATTCTCTCAGCCTTTCTTCTGTTCAGAGGTGCTCCAGCTCTCTG